CTGGAATTTTTACGCACAAAATTCTCATTGAATACGAAACTGAATATTACATTTATTTAATGAATACCAGTTTTCTTTAATGATGTCATAAAAGTAATTTAAATATATTATGACTCGTTCTCATTTTATAATTTCTCAAAGAATAAGTGCACATTTTAATGTGACTTGTTTTTTGGCACTTTGTGCATAGAAAGTCCAAATTTCTTTCAAATAAATAAGTTTTTTATTCGAAAAAAAAGAAACCGCAGTTTTTAGATGCAACTCAAAATATGCGAGGGAATTCAATGCTAATAATTGATGGATAATGGAAGCCCATTCATTTCATAGCACGCTATCGCATGGTTTTAATTGGAATTAGTGCTGTCATTGAATGTAATTGTATTATACTCGACTAGTCATGGCTGTGATACACGAACATAATTCTTCCAATTCGTATGATAGTGATGAGACTCTGAAAAATAGCGATGATAATATCACAGTGATGTCAGTCGACGGTGATGTCGGTTGCCCATATGGCAAATTGATCTTACTTGGGTAAGTCACTTCTTATCTAAAAAATTTGCTGTTCTTTGATAAAATTAAAATTTCTATATATGCGTGACAGTCATGAACAGAAATTTTGACTAGTATGTTTAGACAAAGTCATCAAATTTATTATAGAAAATTATTCGTTAGTACGTTTGCATTATAGTCATTCTTTGTATTATAAGGATAACATTTGTAGCGATTTTAATTAAATTTCATTTTTACAAAATTTTCATTTATTTTTCCTTATCAAGTATTAATTTCTAGAAAAAAGTACGGAATAGCTTTTAAATTGGAGTTTTTAACCAAAAAGATTTGTAATTTGTTTAATAATAATAAGGATGAGTACTTTAAAAAGATTGCCTCTTTGAAATATTATTTTACAGCACACAGTTCACTTCACAATGTCCAAAACTTAGTAAAAGAAATGCACGTTTTTCATTCAGTTTGTGCTAAAGTGAGTTACAGTTTCTATTTCCCTGTTGTTAATATGAATGTTACTAACTTTTTTAGGTACAATGGAACAGTAGAAAACTGTAAAAATTGTCCTCAAGATCGGAAACATCGCTCAAAAATGGTTCTGAGGAAACGACTTACGGGTAATGGCATTAAAAAAGATCAGAGTAGTTCAGTTGTAACTCCATTGTCTCAACATCAGGTATAACTAGCATTTATCATTCAGATTATTGTTTTCAGGAGATTAAACAAAAATAGCTGTTAGTAGTCTTTTTTTATTATATAAGAATACAAATGTAATATTTTAGATCGTACGTGATGTGTCAAGGCATGTTGTTTTGTTTTCATATCATCGTAACCATACAGTTCTTGTGGAGTACAGCCCTGATCCCACGAAAGATATGTTTCAGGTAGCGTATTTAAAACATGCGTGTTTCCTCTTCTCTCTATTTTCTTGAATTGTTAAACAGCTTAAATTTCAGGGCAGAGAAACATATGCATCTCAAAAAATTTATTGTGGATGGGATTTTTATCATTACCTATATATTTTTAGATAGGTCGTTCTTCTGAAAAGCAAATTGATTTTACTGTAGTGGACACATGGCTCGCTGCAAGTCCTTTTTCTTCAGGTCCACTTTATTTCGAAGTTTTTTATGTGAGAAACTTTCAATTTCCACATTATATCTGTTTTCGAAAGAAGTCAATTGGCTGTTTGAAATTATCAACAATAATTTCTGAATCTCAAAATTTTTTTAGAAGCTCAAATTGAAATACAACATCAGAATGGCCAACTGGATGTTTATCGAGGAGGAATGGATGCACATTGCTGTGAACACAGATCGATACCTTCAACTATAAGTCGTTATGCATGTCGGATACAAATTGACCGTAATTATCCTCATCGAGCTTTTCTCTATGCTGCAGGTTTCGATAGTTCAAGGAATATTTTTCTTGGGGTGATTTTTTTCCGTTTCTGCTTCTTTCAAAAATGATTTTTTTTCTTTATTAATAACACAAATAAATATCTTCGTGTTGCAGTGAGCATATAAATGACTAATTATATTATAAACATAAACCGTTTTATGTTTTGATATCATTAATCATTTGTTGATGTTTTATATTATTTATTGGTAATCTTTTATTTATTATTATTTTTGTTATAATGTTTACGGTGATATTTTCAAGACGATTGCTTTTCCGATTTCTTCTAAAGCCTCTTAGAAATATTATAGGAAAAGGCAACTAAGTGGACAAAAAATGATGGTGAAATTGATGGCCTTACAACCAATGGCATTTTGATTTTGCATCCTAAAACTATGCAAAAACAGGTGTAATCAAATTATATTCTTCACATTTTGAAAGTTGATCCTGAAAAATAAACGCATACTTCTTAGAGATTTATAAAGTTTTCAGTTTGTCATATTATTACGTTAAACTGTGTATTTCTGATTGTATTTATTATATTTACTCAAGTTCTGTTTCCTAAATTTTCAGATTTTGGAAAAATCATACATATAATGTATTTAGAATTCAAAAATTGGCACAGATAATCATTTGGCAATGTTTGCGTGGCATGAAGTTTCTGTTGGTGGTGATGTATACAATTTAAGAGAAACACGATCATCGACTAGAAGAGGTGAATTGTTAACAAATGAAACTAATGAACTACAGGTCAGTTGTTTATATACAGAGTGCTTTTGCCTCCTTTTTGTTTTTTTGTAAATATGGGAATTATAAAACATTGCTCTAGATTTGTAGGATGGAACGCTAATTGATCTATGCGGTGCAACGCTTTTGTGGAGAACAGCTGAAGGTTTAGCAAGGAGTCCTCGTCGAAGTGAACTAGAATCAAGGTATATTTATTAAGTTGCTACATATGCATTTTGTATATTTGATGTTTTAATTTTAGTTTCAATATCATTCAGGCTGAATGAAATCAATGCTGGCAAGCCGCAGTGTCCAGTAAATCTAAATACTCTCATAATTCCGCGGAAAAAATCATCAAAAATGTGTGGCTCATCTAGACAACCATATGTGAATTGTTTTTTTTTTCACAACTAATGCAGTTCATTTTACTTTTAACTGTTAAGGAAAAACACAATTCGTTTTACTTTTAGCTGTTGAGGAAAAACGCAATTTTAATAGCTTGATTAACTTTCGTATTCTTGTATGGAGTATTTGAGTTACTCATTCTTTTCGTTTAATTTTGCATATTGAATGTATTTTTATTGTAAAATATAAAAATATCTTAGAAAGTTTTCATGAATGATTTGGTTTCGACTAGTTAATTGCACAGAGTATAATCATCTTGATAAGTTTTTTAGGTATACCTCAGTTGTGGTCATGTACAGGGGAAACATTCATGGGGTAAAAGTGACAAGATTGATAGTGGAATTTTATACAAATGTCCAATATGTCTAGTAGATTCATCTAAAGTCATTCAGTTAATAATGGGAATGGAATCGGCTTTCCATCTTGATTCAGATGCATTGGATTATGCTTTCAACCCTTGTGGTCATGTTGCTTCATTATCTACTGTTAGGTTAATGTTGTCTTTTCTTATATAATTGAAGGAAAATCATTTAAATTTTCAGGAATAATATACGAAGGGTGGAACTTTTAATGATGATTGGAAAAAAAATTTCTTAAGTATGAAATTTGAACAAAATTCTTATGCAAATTTTGCAAGTGTTTTCAAAAAGTTTTTTTAGGAAGTATTCGTTGTATATTAAATTATGGTTTTAGTCTTAATCTAGAAATTATTAAATTACTTTTAGGTACTGGTCTCGCATCCCGCTACCATATGGAACAAATAGTTTTTATCCGGTGTGTCCATTTTGCACTTCGTTGTTATGCATGGATAAGCCATATGTTAAGCTCATTTTTCAAGATCACTGCTTTGACTCGTGATAGTTGAATGGATAGATGATTATGAAGATCTCTTACTTTCACTATTGTTTTTGCTTCACGCACTTCAATCTTGAAGAGTATAGTAAACTAGAAAGTTTTTTCAAAAATGCTAAATTGGTTGCAGTATTCTTTAAACCGAAATTTCGTATAAAGAATACTGCAACCAATTTAGCATTTTTAAGAATACTGCAACCAATTTAGCATTTTTTATGGTGTATGCTAAAAGCATTCCTCATAATTCTTGCACTCTATGAAAGATTTTCTTCTGCATTTTTATATCACTTTATTTTTTTAAAATATCGTTTTTCTTAAAAGACTGCCCCATAAAATGAAGTCTTCATTAAAATCACACCCATATTTGGTTCTTTCGAATTTTGTTTACTGTGGCTTTTTATTGCAACTTAGGAATTCTATTCGGTATTAAATACGATCTTGCTCATTGTTTAGACTGGTGATCGTTACACGTGAAATGTTTGCGATTGTACGGTTATATTGCGCTTTACTGATGGCTCAGTAAAAATATTCCCGGTTCTAAACTCTGGAAAATGTGGTTTATTTGTTATTGTATTATTCTTATATTCGTTCATGCTGTGTTTTCCGCAATCATAAAACTAAACGAATGATAGCACTTAAAATTCTCTCGGGACTTTTCTCCAATCAATTTCTTTCTTTATATCTTTCGTTTTACTCTTTTCTTTGTGAAAAAGTTTTTAAGGAATGAATTACAATGTGTGATCTCTCTTGTTTGTAATTATATGGAAAACGTGGTTTTATCAAGTTTTACTGGGTTTGCATGTTACTTGTTTGGCTTCTTTTGATGGATTAAAATTTTTATTGTGTCATTCTGTTATTACATTTTAGTAACTGTTTTGGTTACAGATTTTAGTCTTATCGATATAAGTTAGTTTCAATGTTAGGTATGTAAATTTCAAAATGATTTCTGATTCAGGAAGTTTCACTTGCCTAGGAAGGAGAAAGTTGTAGCGAAATTAGTCTTTCAAGACATTTTGCTAATATAACTGGCCGTTTTTCCATTTTTTTCATCTATCTTGCGTATATATATATCTCGGAATGATTGTGATTCTGAGAATCTTCGTCGTTCATAACTTTGATATCAAAAATATAATGCTTCAGCAATAGAATAGATTCCAATTATCCTAAATACAGTGTATGCGTTGATATAACATGAATGACTTCTGACCTTATTGCATATTAGTCATGGAGGTTTTATTCTGTTGAGGGGAAGTATTGAGTATGTGCTTCGTGAAAGGTAGAAGAGTTGGTGTAGAGCATTTTGCGTGACTCTAGTTGTTAGTCATGATATGATTATATGGATGATATTTACCTCTACGTAATGCATTTTAGATGACTAGTTGAATAAGAGCAGGAATTATGGAAATATCAAAGTCACTGCAAAAGTTGCTGGCGAACACACGTGGAGTTCAACATATTTTTATAACCGACAAAGACGGTATACCGATTGTCGGTGTGAATGGATCTGGTAGTGTTTTTTCAGAGTCAAACTTATTTGTTTTGAAAGTGGGGTGAATATAAGTAGAACCAATTAGTGGAATTATGATTTCAACCAAATTTATTCATATATTTTAATAAGATTATCAAGTAAAAATGGGTATACATAAATTACAGTAAATGAATAGGTTTAGTTTTCAAAAGTCAAAAAATTATGCTTGTTGAATGTGATTGAATTCGATTCTACTAAAGTTATATTATTTATTTAAAGTGAACCTCACTTAAAAATGTTTTGGACTTTGTTTTTATTTTATTAATAGGCATTAAAGATAGTTTTAAGATGAAGATATACGAAATCGAATGCAGCTGATTAACAGTAATCAGATCACATTAGATCAGATAGCTAAATTAAATCTCGGAGAACAAAAGTCGGCAATTTTTTGGTAAGAAAAATGCATTCTATTATTTAGCTTATACCAACTATTTTTATATGTAAATGGACTTCGAATTGGCACTTTAATTTTAGTTCTGTAAACAACAATGCTTTTTTGTAAATTTTCATATTCAAAAGTTTTTAGCTCACTCTGTTATTAAGTTTATTTTTATAATCATTATCTAACGTACTTGCAGTTACGAATCAACAACTGTAGTGGTGCTTCAGATTAATCCACTTACAGTAATTATTATTGCGAATGCTGATGCATTTATTGGTTCACTTCGAAATCTCAGGAGGCCGCTAGAACCTATTGTTTCCGAAATCGCGGTTGTGGCAGGCTTTCAATGAAACTTTTTAAATCAGCTTAGAAAATGTAATTGAGTCATTTAAACACGTAATTGATTCAGTTACCTTAAATACAGATTTTTTGTGTTTTCATTAATCATCTGAGATTGTATTGATAAACACTGTTTTTTTCAATGTTTGTAACTTTACTGATTCAGGTATTAATCTGGTCTTCAGATCAAAGTTTCACTTGATCTATTTTTGCTTGAGCAGTACAGAATGGCATAAAATATTGCGTCGCCTGTAATGAAAAAAAACAAAAAAATGAGTTGTTTCTCGTTATTATCTCTTTGATGCAATCTCAGATAGTTTATTTTTAACAGCAACTACCTTTCAAGAAGAGCATAGTTCGTAGTTGCAACTACCTTTCAGAATAAGTTCCGGAAATAGTCAATGAGTATCTTGTAAATTAGCAGCTTTTTTTATCGTTTTATGTTTGGTACATCTTTAGGTGTGGTCAGAGCATAGTTCGTAGTTGGTTTTTAATTAAGCAGTTGAGTAACTGTAATTCTTGCTGGGAGTTTACTTCAATTTGGTTTTGAATCATTTTTTGTATACTTCTTTCTGTTGCATATTTATGAGTCATGAAACTTCCGAATTTGCTTGTACTAGAATACAGTGCTCCTGCATTTAGCTACTGAGGTGAAAGTTCACCATCATTAAAAATATGTGTCGATTTGATTCTTGACTTCTCTATTCAATGCATTTTTCAATTTATAGTGCTGAAATAATTGAATATCAAAAAA